GTTTTTATCTCTAGCTAGGTGTTTGTGTAGGAGAGAGCCGGGGTGAGATGTATTTATCTATGGGTGTGTTTGTGCTCTCACAAAGGTTTAGAATTGGGGCGTTGTACACTCAAAGTGGACCAGTAACTAGAGGTAGGGATGTGTGAATTTCAAACAGGCAACGTTCCCACTAATGGAAGAATATAATTTTATTATTTATTTTTTTTTTAAAGATTTTTATTTATCTGACAGAGAGAGAGCACAAGCAGGGGGAGTGACAGAGGGAAAAGCAGGCTCCCTGCTTAGCAGGGAGCCCAATGTGGGGCTCTACCTGAGGACCCTGGGATCATGACCTGAGCTAAAGGCAGATGCTTAACCAACTGAGCCACCCAGGTGCCCCAAGGATATAATTTTAAATACATTAAGACCCTTCTACTTTACAGGGAAAATAATTTTTTTAAAAAAAGGAACACTTTGAACAACTAGTGCTGTCCACACCCAGCTGGGTACCTTACTGTCTCTTGTAATTTTCACAATCAACCTAAGCAGGTACAAATTGACCCAGCTTTATAGTTGAGGAATCTGAGCTTGTCCAAAGCAACAATAAGTGGCCAAGCAGTCTGATCTCAGAGCCTGTAATTTCTCTTTCTGCCAGAAAGTCTCAGCTAAACTACGAGACAATCTTCTCAAGGAGGAGAAAATGATGAATGAGTATTTCATTAGACCTCGCACCGGGTTTTAGTGATATGGAATGTGATTTCAACTTTATTCAGAAAAATTTCTTCACTTCTTATTTTCACATGAGAGAGAATTATAGATGTTTGCTTAAGGCGGAAGGTCATAAAGCTGAAAGGACTCTGGGCTTTAGTTTAATTGCAAACTATAAAGATCTGACCCAGAAGAGCACTCCTACCTCTCTCGACTCCAGGATGCATCTCCCGGGTCTCCTCCCCTAACTGTTTCTCTCAGTCCCCATCAGGGACCAGATCCTCCCCTTCTGCACCCCACAGCCCCCGCTTCCTGAGGATGTTCCTTTTTGCACGGTCTTCATCTCACCTCAATGCCCTCTACCCTCTGCCCTCTGCAGGCTGCCTCATCCATGCCCTTGGTCTCACCCGCCCCTGGGCTCACTCCAGCTCACACCCCCTTGCAGTTCTGCCGAAGTCATCTACCTAGATAGCTCACAGGATTTTCAAACCCAACAATTCCAAAGTCTATCTCATTTTCTTCCTTATCTACCCCTCCCTGGAACATTCCCCCCGCCTTTTTTTTTTTTAAAGATTTTATTTAATTATTTGTCAGAGAGAGAGAGAGAGAGAGAGCAAGCACAGGCAGACAGAATGGCAGGCAGAGGCAGAGGGAGAAGCAGGCTCCCTGATGAGCAAGGAGCCTGATGTGGGACTCGATTCCAGGACGCTGGGATCATGACCTGAGCCGAAGGCAGCTGCTTAACCAACTGAGCCACCCAGGCGTCCCACATTCCCCTTTTTTATCCTATATTTACCGTGGCACCACCACCCACCCACCTATCCAGGTGAGAAAGCGGAGAGTCATTTGGGACATCCTCCATCTACATTCAATAAGCCTTGAGGTCTTCCCATCGATGGCTCTCAAATACATCCTCCTTTTCTCTATTCCCTCTGCCGTTGCTTTGGTTAGTTATGACCCTCACTACCTGTTCCCTGGACCACCCCCACAGCAGCTGGGCTCTGGCCTCCAAAAAGTTCCTGCCAGTGTGCATGTCCTACCCTATTTGCTGTAGCCAACAGGAAACCAGATTCCCTTCTGCCATAACTTAAACCCTTTTTTGGTTCCTTTGTTCCTGCAAGCTAACAGCATAAGAGGCCCTACTGAATACTTGACATACGTGGTCAGATCTACATTTCAATATTCCAATCTACACTCCAACATTAAACTCCATGGTTTTTTTTTTTTTTTTTTAAGATTTTGAGGGAGGGAGGGAGGGAGCACATGCAGGGGGAGAGGGAGAAGTAGGCTCCCCGTCGAGCAGGGAGCCTGATGCAGACTCCAACCCAGGACCCCGGGATCATGACCTGAGTCAAAGGCAGGCGCCCAACTGAGCCACCCAGGTGCCCCTAAGTTCCATGTACTAAATGACTTAAAGTTTCCAGAAGATACGCTATTTTAGCCCTCTATGCCCTGGCAAGTATGTACTTCTACCTCAATTGAATTGATTTCCCATTATTGGTTTTTCAAGAATCCACCTTCTTTGGGAAGTTTTTATACCTTGTGCTTATCTCTCTTCTAGCTCTATCATCTCTGTATTGCTCTGATTTGTTCATCGGTGCATCTGCCTTTCCTACGTCAGATTCTTGAAGCCAGCACATTGCCTACCACACGGTGAGCGCTCTGTAATGGTACAATTTCTTAAATACTAATTTATGAGATCTCAAATTTTAAAAATTCAAAGGCCACACCCAAGAGACTCTTATCCAGCTCGAACTCCATTGGGATAGCAGTTCTACACAAGCTCCTTCCGAGTCATGCTGATGACCACATATTTGTCAAGTATTCAGTACAGCAACCTAGCAACCAAATACAAGGGAATCTTGGATTGGATTCTGGACATAGAAGTACAGCTATAAAGGACATTAATATTAGAGAGAATGGAAATGGGTTGTATGGCAGGTGATATTATTGAATTAATGTTAATCTTTTTAGGAATGATATTACAATAGGCTACAATGTCCTTTCCCTAGGCATAAAAAACTTTATGAGGTCTGTACTTATTTTTAAGGAGTTTATTTGTATTTATTTTTGAGAGAGAACAAACGAGTGAGCATGTGCACATTAGGGCTGATACAGGGGGCAGAGAGGGAGAGGGAGCCAAGAGAATCTCAACCAAGCTCCATGCCCAGCATGGAGACTGACTGACACAGGGCTCGATCTCATGATCCATGCCAGAGTTGTACACTTGAACCAACTGAGTCACCCAGGTGCCCCTCAAAGAGTTCATTTTAAAAGGAGCAAAATAATATATAGAGCAAATGCAGCAAAATTTTCAATAAAAAGTAGGAGTATTCTTTGTACTAATTTGCCAACTTCTCTGCGTATCTGAAAGTTCTCAAAACACATCTGGGGCAAATGCTAAGAACATAACCAAAAATAAAATCTGTCTTTTGAAATTTAAGTACTAATACTGCTCTTGGGGTTTCTCCTGCCCAAACCCACTGCCTGGTACCTTCCATTGCCATGTTCACCCCTTAAAACCACTGCATTTCCATAATTAAGTTTTGTGTTTTTAAGGTTGCAAGGTACAGCTACCCCTCACAAACACTCAAGTTCGTTCTCCTAGTTGGCCAACCTTCACAAGACTGTTTATTTCCCTAAACAGCAGCATATTGCACTTTATAAACCTAAGCAAATGAAACTGTGCTTTCTCACTGGTCCATGTACTATCTTGACATCAACTACTGGAGCTTTTCATACGGGAAGACTTGAGGTGATTAAGGAAATCACTAAGGTTGGAGTAGTCTGAGGGATTAAAGTCTGGCAAAAGCTAGTTATTTCCAGGAGGGGAGAGGATAGCCCTTCTCTTAAATTTCTACTACATTCAGACCAGTTTTTAAAAGGCATTTATCACCTTTCTCTAAGAGTTGAATTTAGATATATGCCCCAAAGAAATGAAAATGTAGGGTTCCACAAAACTTGGGACATGGCAGTCACAGTGCTATTATTCATGTAATAGCCGAAGTGGAAACAGTCCAAATGTCCATCAAATGATGGGTAAGCAAAATGTGGTATAACCATACAGTGGAAAACTAATCATAAAAAGGAATAAAATATGCTTACGTGGCACATGGATGAATCTTGAAATCCTTAATCGAAGGAGTTCACACAAAGGTTATGTAACATTTCATTTATATGGAATATCCAGAATGGAAAATTCGTAAGACTAAGTTTATTAGTGTCTGACTGGGGCAGAGCGCAGAGGGGTCAGGATGGGAGAATGACTGCCAAAGGGTACGGGGGTGGGGGGGGTGGATGGAAATATTCTGGAGTCAGATGGAGGAGATGGTTGTAAAACTGTTGTGTGAATATACTAAAAACCAATGAAATGTGCACTGCACATCAATGAATACTATGGTATCTATGTTGTATTTCAATTTTTTTTTTAAAGGTAATGGAGGGGCACCTGGGTGGCTCAGTGGGTTGAGCCATTGCTTTCGGCTCAGGTCATAATCTCAGGGTCCTGGGATCAAGTCTCACATCGGGCTCTCTGCTCTGCAGGGAGCCTGCTTCCCTCTCTGCCTACTTGTGATCTTTGTTAAATAAAAAAAATCTTAAAAAAATGTAATGGAAAGCAGTACCTACTCAGTCCCATTTTTAAGAACAGTCAAGGGGGGATCCCAAGGGCATGCTGGGTTTGGTTGCCCTTTCAGTCTTCAAGTCACCATTGGCCAGAGTAAAGTGTCCCCATCCTGCAAAGTGTGGCCAAAGTTCCCCATTACCACCCCCCCAACCCTTGCAGGGTACCTATGTTAGCTTTGGTACCTGAAGGGCCCATCTGGGCATGCCCCACATTCCTACTCACCATTGTAATCCCAGCGCTTCCTTCAAGACCAATTGTCATGGTGGTCTCATTCCCGTATCGTCTTCCTTTTCCTCATTGTGCTCACCATTTTTTATTCATCTTCTTCCTAAATTTGGTTTTGTTCATTGCTTTATCTCACCTGCACAAGAATGGTGTACAGCGAACAGCAGTGGCTCAATAGTATTTCTGGTGAATGAGTACACTTGTCAAAAGCATTTACACAAAAATTTGCACCGTGTATTTTTTAAATTTTATTTATTTGACAGAGAAATCACAAATAGGCAGAGAGGCAGGCAGACAGAGGGGGAAGCAGGCTCCCTACTGAGCAGAGTGCCCAATGCGGGCCTTGATCCCAAGATCTTGCGATCATGACCTGAGCTATGGCAGAGCCAAGGCAGAGGCTTAACCCACTGAGCTACCCAGGTGCCCTGCACGATGTTTTAATTTAAAAATGAAGCTCTATGCTGCAAAATGTTGTTTTTCTCCCATAAAAGGACATTCTCCTTCAATTGAATATGTATCTTTAAAAAATCTCGCACAAGTAGTATTTTATTATAGACAATTCAGGTTATAAATCTTTACACGCTTTTAGGAAAACATTCAGGCATCATAAACATAAAAATCTCAATATGCAAATTAAATTTACAACGAGAAAATAAACACAAACTTATTTTTGAACTATGTGGCTATTGCTACACTACCTTTATAAATCCTATCCAGAGTCCAAAAATGTAGTCAAGCCCTAAAAACGTAGAAGCATTTCCGCACACTGGTATCCATAATCTAGTTTGTGCAGCAATGTTTCCACTAGATTCATAGAGTATTTTTTGGAAGAAAGAAGCAAAAGCTGGTCATTTGGTGGCTTTTCTGACTTTCTGCAATTCTTCAACGGGTTTCCACTCTTGGTTGATGGTTAGAAGCTTGAAAAAAAAAAAAAAAAAAGAAAGAAAAAAGGAAATTTTTTTTTTTTTTAGGATCTGTCCTTCATCCTCATGTCCCTTTTTTGGGATTCTCCACACTCCCTTTGGAAAACCCATCACCATAATAGGTATAAAAAAGAACCATCTCTAAAGACATGCACAAAACAGTAATGTGGGCCCTAAAGAACTTGTGGGTTCCCAAGTATCATAGGATCAGAAAGAAACGTCGTATGTATTTTCCACTTTCACGTAACAGGTTCTAGGTTTTTAAGTTCCCCATGGCTTTATGTGAACTCTTTTAAGTTCAAAAAGTTTGTCTACCCCGGTGAGTGGCTGTAGAATGCTCCAGCACAGGGGCGTGGCACATAGCAGGCTCTTAACCAAACTTCCTCACTGTAACTACGCAACAAAGGTACAAATGATCTAAGTTAAGCAATAAGGGAAAAGCGGCAGAGCTGTGGACAGTCCTTGACTTCCAAAAAGCTCGAATTCAGAGGTTCTCATTTATCCTCACATGTTTTCTAATGCTACAGGATCCAGGAGATATAGGTACGGTTTTTTTTTGGTTGTTTTGTCTTTTTTTTTTTTTTTTAAATTGAATTCCAGTTATCATTAACATACAATGCTTGATTCAGGCATACAACAATTCTCTACATTACTCAAAGCTCATGATTCAATAACTCTATGCATTACTCAGCACTCATGGCAAGTTCTCTTCTTAATCCCCATCACCTACTTCCCCCATCCCCCACCCAGCTCCCTCTGGTAACCCCTAGTTTGTTCTCTACAGTTAAGGTCCGTTTCTTGGTTTGCCTCTTTTTTCCCCCTTTGCTCATTTGTTTCTTAAATTCCACATATGAGTGAAATCATACGGTATTTGTCTTGCTCTGACTTATTTTGCTTAGAGATGCTGGTAGTTTTGAAGATTCTAAATGTCCTTCATTAGGTCAAACTCTGCTATTTGTGGTTTAAAAAAAAAAAAAAAAAAAGATTTCCTGACTGACATTAAGTAGTGTTAGTTCCAACAGACTCAGTATTTCTTCCAAAATATTTAAAATGTTACAAAATTTTTGCTAGTCTTCAAAGAATGAGTGCCTGTTAGTTGATTTTGCTTGAAGAAAAGGCCACTCCTGTTTCCCAGAGCTCATTATTTTTCTCAACAGACCTTACACTAACTTTAGATAAATGATACCATGAGATAAAATATTACAATAATGATTAAAGTTAACATTTGAGTAGGTACTCTGGGCCAGCCACTATGCTAAAGGTTTTTATGTATTTTACATTCTTTAATCCTCTTAACTCTGAGGTACAGCCCTATTATTGAGCCCACTTTAGAGATTCTCAGAGCCTCAAAAAAGCCATGTTGTCCAAAATCACCGGTGAATAATGGAACAAGGGCTTGAACTAGATCTCTACAACTCCATAGCACTCCCCTTACCACTACACTAAACGGCACTCTAAATGTGAAAAGGTATTAAATCCATTTTGCAGACAAGGGTGTTAAAGCTCAGGCTAAATGTAAATCACCTTAAAAAAAAAAATTTATCTCAGAGCACAAGCTGGAGGAGGGGCAGAGGGACAGAACCTCCGTTTCTGTCGGAGCGGACTCCGTTTTGAGTGCAGAGCCCAACATGGGGGCTTGATCCCATGACCCTGAGATCATACCTGAGTGAAATCAAAAGTCAGACAGTTAACCGAGCCACCTAGGCATCCTGTAAACCACTTTATAATACAGCAATACCTTTCTAGGTACATTAGGGTCCACGGTTTCCCAAGGTTCTGGATTTCTTTTCCGATCAATGCTAAAAATAAAAGGAAGCTGATTAAACACTAAAGTGAATTTATACATTTTTATTTATTTTTTGTTTTTTAAAAGATTTTATTTGGCAGAGAAAAGAGGAGAGGAGAGGGAGAGCGAGCGAGCACACAAGCAGGGGCAGCAGGAGGCCGAGCAGGCAGAGGGAGAAGCAGGCTCCCTGCTGAGCAAGGAGCCAGATGCACTACTCGATCCCAAGACCTAAACTGAAGGCAGGCCCTTAACCAGCTGAGCCACCCAGGCATCCCTAAATGTAAGTGAATTTAAATCAACTCTGACACTGGGTCTGCAAACATGCTGGGACATCATAGAACAGATCCAGACTGATAAACAGGCATTGATCAGTTAGTTCACTGAAACTGATGGAAGGTTGAGTAAGGGAGCCTCAGGATTTGGCTCAAATGTTAAGGGCCAGTTCCTCTGAGGGTAGAAGCTCTGTGTTCCCTTTGTTGGGCGGGATGGGAGAATATTCCCATAAGCTGAAGAGCAGCAGTCAGGGTTTGGAAGTGTCAGGCTAAGAGCAATAAAAAAAAAAAACCATATTCTTGCTCTGGTTTCTGAGACAGGCAGAAGGGCTGGGGCTGAACTCCATAAGTGGTGAACTACACGGTGCAAGTCCCCTCTGCCAGGACCTGGCTTTATTTATCCCCCTTTCAGTCCTGCTCTAGGTCAAGATCAGTTTCAAATTTTTCTCTTCCTCATATTCCAGGTTCCGTGGTATCTGATCTTCTTACAGAGAGCTGAGATTAGATTCACTGTAGACAACTCAATCTATATACTCTACCACATTAGGAAAGATCTAATAAACTGATTTTAAAATTTCATTAAAATAACGATTTAAGTTTGATAAATAACCCAAAAGACCATTTAATAACTTTAAATTTCACAACTTAAAAAAAATCACACTTCACTGCACAAGTGGAAGAGGGCCAATGGATGAAAGGGTATACAAGGAACAAACTAATTTTATCAGCATCATAATTTAACAGTCTCCTGGTTATCAGAAAGCTTTCTAGTCCCATGTTTGGCATTCTTATCCTAGAGGTAAAGCTAGGAAACTGATAGCATGCATTTTATTACTAACGTCAACTTAACACTGCTAAAAACGTTTTTATAAATGCCTACTTACATCACATCAGTTTTTTGAAGGGAATATACAGCAAAAGACAAAGCTCCACCCGCTGCTGTGGTCATGATCAGCACCAAAGGAATAAGCTAACAGAGAACAGGTGGAGGATAAATATTCCGATGTTTCAATGTGAAACACGTGAAATTCAACACAACTAAATATCATTTAATACTTTCTTCAAAATCTGCACCTTTATCTTTAAAAAGTTGTTTTAGGTCAAGAATTTCAATGGTTTTAAAAACTTACTTCCTTCTTTTTCCTCAGGAGTTGGAAGAAGTTCATGATGACTTCAGTGTACAACGCCAAATCTAGAATTTAAAAAATAAGAAAAAATTCAAGATACTGATCAAAACTTCAGCCACTCCGACCCAACCTGGGGAAGGCCAACTGGCCAACGCCCTCCCCACAACGTCCTCCAGAAGTCACCGGAGGCTCACCTGGGAGGCCGGGCCACCACACCCGCGCGGACGACGCAACCGCCCCAGACAGAATTGGGTCCCAGCGTCCGCACTTATATACTGATCACCAAGGATGGGCCGGGCCAAGGCACTCTAATCACGCGGACCGGGCTGGGGGTGTGCGGGGCTGACTCTTTCCCCGCTGTGCGTCCGACTGCCGGGCGCCCCCTGTAGGACATCCTCCCCGCGGACGCGACGCAGCCGAAAGCGGGCACTGGCGCCCTCTGCTGCCAGGCGTGGTCCTTCCCCGTCGCCCGGCTAGCGCAGAGGCTCCGCGTTTTCGGCGCCTGGGACCCGGCCCAGCGCCTGCAAGGAAATGGACCCTGGGAACAAGCGGAGCTCGGATGGCCAAGGCCTGGGTGAAAACCGGGACCTCTAAAAGGCAACCCGGAAAAGGAACCGCGGAGCGGGGAGCGGGGGTACGGTGGGGCTCCCAGGTGCAGGCAGGTAAATTAAAATCAATCCAATCACATTAAAAGCTCCAGCATGTTGGGGTGCCTGGGTGGCTCAGTTGGTTAAGCAACTGCCTTCGGCTCAGGTCATGATCCTGGAGTCCTGGGATCGAGTCCCACATCGGACTCCCTGCTCGGCGGGGAGTCTGCTTCTCCCGGGGATCTCTCTCTCCTCTCATGCTCTCTCTCTCTCTCTCAAATAAATAAATAAAATCATTAAAAAAAAAAAAAAAAAAGCTCCAGCATGTGATGCAGCGCACATATGGAGATAATTAAATTGTAATATCCATTTCAGAAGAACTCCCATGGTGTTGATTTGTTCCATTAAAATTTTTAAATTTCCGGGGCACCTGGGTGGCTCAGTGGATTAAAGCCTCTGCCTTCGGCTCAGGTCATGATCCCAGGATTCTGGGATCGAGCCCCGCATCAGGCTCTCTGCTCGGCAGGGAGCCTGCTTCCTCCTCTCTCTCTCTCTGCCTGCCTCTCTTGCCTACTTGTGATCTCTATCTGTCAAATAAAATAAAAATCTAAAAAAAAAAATTTTTTTTTTAAAATTTCCACTTCCCTCCTTCCCCCATTTCTTTAAATGGAAAAAATCAGGAGGTGAGGGAGAAGAAACAGAACCAGCTTTGGAAACATTTCCATCTCGGAAACGACAGTCTTTGCTTTCGTCTTGAGGTCTCCTTTTAACTCGCCCCTAAACTACCAGCCTTGCCTTGCACAGAGCATGCAGGCGGTTGCAAAACACGGAAATGCTAACCCTTCCGTTAAACCAAGGCCTAGTGCCAGACTCTGGATCTGAATCTTTCTGGCGTTTTTGCAAGGCGATTATGTTATTTAGACTCAGAGAGACTCGAGTCACGTAGCCAGTTAGTGGCGGGCATGTAATCAGAACCCAGGTGAGTCTGGCACCCAACACTGGCTGTTCTTTCGGCACCACGCTCTCAGCTCCTGCAGTTAAGCCAAGAGCACTAGCTCAGTTATTTTAAAATAGTTATTTTAAAACAATTATTTTAAAGCTCTTTGAAGTTCAAGCTATGGGTTAACCTTAAAATGGAAACATCTGGGATGCCACTCAGGTTGTGGATCAAATCCTCCATCAGCCCCTTGCTCAGTGGGGAGGCTGCTTCTCTGTCTGCCTGCAGATTCCCCTGCCTTGTGCTGTTTCTCTGACAAATACATAGATTAAAAAATCTTAAAAAAGAACAAACCTCTTTATGTCCTCTGGAAAGGGCCAGGGCCAGATCTGTTTCATCCCATTTTAGTTCTAGGCATAGGCTTTGCAGTGAAACAGACATGAACTTGGAGCCCACCCTGCCACACTTTATCAGCTGAATGACTTCGAGGAAACTACTTAACCTTATGAGTCTCGACTTATAAATCTGTAAAATGGGGACAAACCTAGCATAAAAGAAGGTTGGAAAAACTGTTAGAATGTATGTTAAGTGCATGGCATTCTGCCTTGCTTGTAGTAGGCATTTAATAACTAGTAATTATTATTCGCAAGGATTTGTTTTGTTTTATACAGGGCAGGTGATAAACATAGCTTCACACCAACTTATTCTGATAAGGGTTTTTACTGTGTGACCTCAGCACTGTAACTGGAGACATTTTCTGGTCGGTTAGGTTCATAATTCAGTTCAAAGAAAACTCAACACTAATTCTCTGTGGTTTGTATTATATACAATCAAAGGAGCCTTTTAATACTCCTTCTGCAGGATTTCTAAAATTACTTTTGTCAGAAGTTTCTTAAAAAGCCCCATTTTTTAATAATTAAAGATAAGTGCTTCCAGGAAGGAAAGGAAGAAAAAATGAAGGGGGAAAGAAGGGGAAGGAGAAAGGGAGAAAGAAATTTTACAGGAAATCTATCATGTCCCCAGATTAAAATTATAGTGTGTAGCCCTTGACCACTGACAACTTTAAACTCAGAGCCCTGTTTTGCCAATGTCCTTTCTTTTAACAATGCAGTATAGTTTTGTGACAGTCTAGGCATTAACCTGGAGACAGGGGCACAGTAAACTTAGATTAATAAGATATGAGGGGTGCCTGGGTAATTCAGTCCTTAAGTGTCTGTCTTTGGCTCAGGTTGTGATCCCAGTGTCCTGGGATAGAGCCCCACATGGGGCTCCCTGCTCAGTGGAGAGAGCCTACTTCTCTCTCTGCCTGCCACTCCCCATGGTTGTGCTCTCTCTGACAAATAAAATCTTTTCTAAAAAAGGTCAACATACATATACTTTCTTCCCAAGTTATGGTATTTTAATATACTTTTTAGCTTATTAGGTATAAAGTCTTTTATTTACAGGAAGTTACACAAACTCTAAAAGTGCGAAGTTGCAAACTATAGGGCAAGTTTACAGTTAATCCTTGGTCAGGGATATAATGGTTATACACCCTCTAAGTTAGAAAATCCTTGTTTCTGAAATAAGTTTTCATATAAAGTCAAGTCCTCATGACTTAAGGATGGCTTTACAGTCCTCAGTGATTTTAGAAAGTGCTCTTGCTTCACTGTGGTTGCTTCTAATCCATTTTCTTGCAGAGCCAGCAAGGCAGCCTGTAAGAGACAAACAACAGGAAATAATTAATGTGCTTCTTTAAAAAAAATTTTTTTAAAGATTTTCAAAAATTTATTTTAGAGAGAGAACACAAAGGAGGGGCAGAGGGAGAGGGAAAAGCAGCCCACCCCCCACAACCTGCTGAGCAGGGAGCCCGAGGTGGGTCTCGATCCAGGACCCTGGGATCATGACCTGAGCCAAAGGCAGCTGCTTAACTGATGGAGCCACCCAGGTGCCCCACAATTTATGGTAATAATTCAAAATCTGAGGGTAAAAACCTCAGTCCCACTTCTTAGAATTCCCATATTCATGACACTATAAAATTAAAAAGTTAAATAAGGTAATTTTAATAAAATTAAAAGTTTTATTAAAAATAAAATTAAAAGTTGTCTTAACAGACCATAATTTCTTCTACATTAAATTCTACCCTTAAATGGGAAAAAAGAAATAGCAAGTTGCAGCAAAATATACACAGTATGAGCCCATTTATATATTTAAGGATGAGAGACTATACTCCTGGCCTTACAGTAGGAGTTTTTGAACAGGACACAGCACTGATCACAAAGCACAAGACCAAACACATGCTCTATAACTCTGCAATTCTCTTTGTAGGTTTATACATATATATATATATAACAGAGATAAGTACACATATGTACTAACAGACATGTACAAGATTGTTCATAGCTGAATTTGTAACAAAAAAAGTAGTTTGGGTTACTTTTTTGCTATAAATTCTGCTATGAACAATGTTCCAAAAAGATGGATGAATGCTGCAGTATATTCCTAAACTAGAATATTACAAAGTGATGGAAATGCGCGAACTACCCCATATGCAAAACCACAGATGAATTTCACAAACATGATCTTTTTTTTTTTTTTTTTAAGATTTTATGTATTTATTTGACACACAGAGAGATAGTGAAGGAATAAAAGCAGGGGGAATGGGAGAGGAAGAAGCAGGCTTCCTGCTGATTAGGGAGCCCGATGGGAGGCTCCATCCCAGGATCCCGGGATCATGACCTGAGCAGAAGGCAGACACTTAACCGAGTTACCTAGGCGCCCCTTCACAAACATAATCTTGAGTTAAAAAAGCAAATATAGAAGTATATATAGTCCTATTTATATAAAGTTCAAAAAGCAGACAAAACTAATCTCCAGTGCTGTAAGTCAGGAGTGTGGTTCCCTTTTGGAAGGAAGATTGGGAAAGCCCCAAGAGGAGCCTCCAGGGCACTGATAACGTTCTCTCTCTCTAGTTAAACAAGTGTGTTCATTTTATGTTAATTCAATTAACTATGCCCTGATGATCTGTGCTTTTTCTGAATAGCACATTTAATAAAAGTTTATGGAAAGGGAAACACCTATGATGGCTTCTTTTGGTTTCAAAACAAAGTGTAAATCTCTTAAAATGGCTTACAAGGACCTGTGTGATCTGGCCACTGTCCAGCTCCGAAGTGTCATGTTATCTCTCACTCGAGTCACCTGCACATTTTGTTCCCTCTGCCTCAATGCCACCCCCAGTTCCCTCCCTTAGCCTACCTCTCTCATCATCCTTCCAATTTCCCCTTACACATGCCTTCTCTCAGAAAGCCTTCTCTGATGCCCCCAAGTCTGGTTCCATGTCCTTCCCAGGTGCTCCCGCAACACCCTAAACTTCCTGATTCACTACATATTTTCAACTGCCAATGCAGTAAGACAATTTGCCTCTCTGCAACCTGCCACAAACCTGTAAGCTTGGGAAGGGAAAGAAAGGGTCCCTATCTGTCTGTTTCACCTTACACAGTGCTTGCCACATAGGAGGTCTTTGAGTAAATGCTGCCAAGTGAATGAATGCAATCGTCCCTCAGAATAATATGCTGCTCAAAATATAACTTTAATAACTAATGAGGAATTGTACTGGTCACGTAAGCTTAAGGATGACCTTGAGAAAAACATGTACTAGCAGCAGGCCTCTGGTGGAGGGGATGATACTCGCCCTTGAAGCCAAGCAGCTGGGGCGGGACACCCCTGCTTCCCTTTTTCCTTGTCTCCTGTACCTCAGAGAAAGCCTGCTGTTAAGGTAATCCCTTTAAGTGTGCTAGCACAACTACAAATCCAAGCTGCTGGATCAGACACGCCTTACTCTTCTTCTTGTTTACCTCGTTTACCTCTAAAACTTGTGACCAACATCTGACTCACATTCCTTCTTGTTTACGTATTAGACCTATGGCTATTGTATAACCTTTTCTTCTCCTTTGTTGCTACCTTGTATCTAATAAATACTGGACTGAGGAGTTGTCTGGGTGACAGTCCTTCCAGCTGTTGTCCCCTGCTCCCTCTCACAGCTGACTTGTTTGTGCCTCATTCTTCCGTGCGCAGTTAGGAAAGTGGCAAATGAAGATCTGAATAAATGAAGAAATGCTGTCAACCATACATTCCCTCACTAAT